AGGGAAAACGATTATCAACATGTTAGGTAATTAGGATTAACAAGCTAGAAGGATTTGGGTGGGATTAGCTAGGTGAAATCGATGCCCTAGTGCTTTATTATCTTTGTTTTCATCTTTTACATTATTTCCTTAATCTCAATTTATTTTGCTTGCTTAATTAGATTTTAATCATCATAATTCTCTTTTCGTTTAATTCAAGTATAATTTGAAATAAATCACTCTAGTATTTAATAGATTACTTGATCCCTGTTGGAACGATACTCTACTTACTACTATATTAATTTGAGCGATATTGTCCACTTGCAATTAATCACATCAGTCGTCTCGCTATATAATCAACTTAAATCAGTTAAACCCATCATGCAATGCATTTCCTTCCAATTTTTTGTGATAAAGTAATAGATAATTGACTAAATAAACATCCTCCAAAGTTTCAAGAAAACTTTCCAAGTTTTTCTTACAATTTCAGTGGTTTTTATTCAATTTTTATCGATATCGATAATATCCTGAAATTTCTGTGGTTTTGGACTATTGATATTTTCGAAACCATCGATATTTTAGACCTTGGTCTACAATGACAAGGAAATTGAGTGATTTTACAAGTCCAAATTCTGCAACCCCAAGTTTTGTTTTATTTTCTTTTCCTACAATTGCGGATAAGTTTCTCTGTCTTGCTTGTAAATGCTCACTAATGAATAAGTGTATATACGCATATATTTTTGAAAGGAAATTCATTGAAGTATATGTTTTGGTTCTTTGGATCAGTATTGGCGTTTCTTTGAATGTGGTTCTTTTTGATTGGATGATAACCATCCTACTCATGTTCGAACTTATTGCACGATTCATTCGAAAATATCAAGCATTGTTTGGATTCAATCCATGATTATGATCAAGTTTGATCGAGTTCACTTTCCACTTTCCATCCAAGCATATAACTGCCCTAAGTTGAGCCTAGCAATTGCATTTTATGTTTGGATATGGCTTTAGGACATTGCTTGCAGTACTTTGTGGGGCTCCCTGATCAAGAACATGATAAATCATATATTTCAACTCCCCACAACACTCCTTTCTTTGATGATCTCTTCTTCATTGGGAAATCTACTCGGTTTGCATATTTTTTATAATAAGCACCTCATCAGTTGTGTTAAAAATCATATTTACCTTAGGTTCTTGTGTCGTTTCTTCTGGGCTCATTGTATTCTCCAATCCAATCTCACCAATCTCAACCTCATCATTTTCTTTACTAATCTCCAAATTTGAATGGATTCTTGAAGATTCTTCCATCCTAAATAATTCAAAATATTAATATAAACTTCCTGTAATACATATGCAGTATAATACCAATTAAATTAATATTGTATATAGGTATGTGTATGTAATTCAGGAGCACTTATACATTAGGTATATTCTTACAATAAAGAGAAAACCAATTAGGAGAGAGTAACGGGTTTGTGATGAATCATGATAGACAAGAACAAAGTTGGCTGTTTAAATAAGCAATCCCTCATGCAACATGGTTGAGACAAAGCGACTGACCTTGGAAGGATTAACAGCCCCATTGTTAGGACTGCTGCAACTACCTTTGGTAAGCAAAATAATAAGCACTGCCAAAATAATATATATAAATGTTATATATCTAGGTAATTGAGGGGACTCCAACTCTCAGCCACGTTCTAGCAATACTCTTATCACAGTGCAACAACAACGGAGACGGGGAGTGCTGGAGATGCGAGGAAGAGTTGAGAACATACATGAGGCTACTTACCAAGGACGCTAGGGTTTTTTAATTTGTTATTTCAGTTTTTTTTTTTTTAAAGGATTATTGAAAAGAGAATAAATAAAAAAATAGAATACACATGGCAACCTTCATTAATTGACATGACTTGACACATCAATTGCCAAATAAGGTGGTCAGCTAAGGTGGTCAATGTTGTGTGTCTAAAATAGCATTATGAGAATTATAACTCTAATATTATTTTCGACAATCACTAGAATGAGTTAACAAACTAAAAGAACAGAGATCAAGAGAAAGAGAGAGACCGATGATGAATGGGAAAATGATCCAACCACCGCGCCTGCAACGAGAATATGAGGATGCATGGGCTCCATCATTGTGGGAAAGGGACTCATCCATGTTGGAGGGCCAACTATTTAAGCTAGCTCAAAGTTGCTGCTCTTTGAATGCTTACAACTTGTAGTGTGATATTCAACATGAACCCACTGCAGCATGGGTTAATATATCCGAGAATCCTCAGTTCTACACAACCCACAAAATACGTTTGCCATGGTGTCCTGAATTTCAGTTTTTTAAACTAACTGTCCATTTTGTTGAGTGTTTGTCCCCAAATAGAAATAATAATAATAAATATATAATAAGACCAGTTTCAATAATGAATGAGTTAACATAATTGTTGATTCTCACAAGTCAAAACTAGAAGCATCAATTTCATTTCGAAAGTTGGAGAAATAACTCATAGTGAGACAATCCAAAATGGGTTCCTACAGTTTGGGGTTTTTTGGAGTTCATCTAACAAAATGGCAAAAGTTTCCCTAAAGAACCTGCAGGATTCATCTTATAGGTTTTGATCATTTTATGAGACACTGAGTTTAACAACCACATATTCCTAAAAGTTAAATACTACAGTTTAATTCAAGATACAACTAGCACTGCCCAATTCTAATCAACATATTGTGATATTTATTAATGAACCTCTCATAATTCCAGTATGTTGCATAATTTATTTAAAACTAAGATATGCTAAATAAATAAGAGAAGACTGCATATTGAAAGAGATTGCACAAACTATCAAAGACACGATCAATTAAGCAGACAAGGGAGGAGTTCCAACAAAGCAATTGAAGATCAGATCAATTCTCAATGCTTCAACAGCACTCTTGGTTTTATACACTATCAATGCTGGAAAAAAAGTTACAATATGTCCTATTTATGAGCGATTGGAGTAACAAAACAAGATTTACATCACAGCAAAATGTATGTACATTGCAGCATAGAAGTACAGATCTAGTGCTGGGAGACAGACGGCGGTGACTTACTAACAATATCAATTGTGAGAAGAGCATTATTGGCCTTTCAAGTATTTATGTGCAGACACTTGAGGAGGAGGAGTTTTTAACAAAGTTAGCAAAAATTTAGCTCCTCTCTTAAGAACAACACTTTTGATTAAACTTTTTAACAATAGTGAAAAATAAGAGGGGGCAAGGCCTAAGTAGGAAATCAAAGTGGTTACCCTCCAAATCAAAAGTCCTAAGCACTCCCATTTTTCACCATTGTTGAAAGATTTCATAAAAACTGCAGTTGTTAAAAAGAGGGAGAAAATCTTTACAAGTTTTGTTAAAAACCCTTTGGCAAGAGCATAGCTTTTCTTGCAGCGGAGAGATTTTTGTTGAGAGCTACCACTTGCACTTGCATCAGCTGAATTGCGAGGAGAAGCAGTAATGCTGATGTTGATGGCTTGGTTCATCATCATGATTTGGTTGAGTTGTTCCACGTCTTGCTCGTGCACCAAACGCAACCCACACTTCTTTATACTCGAGCAATTTCTTCTGTCTAAGGGCCTAGCACGATTCTCATAATAAGTTTGGAATAAAATCTTCATCTGACTGCATTGCCTATTCCAATCCTCACGAGACACATAAAATACACAAAGGTGATCTGACACAACATGCCCTATCTCTAACCAAACATACGCAAGCTCTTTTTCTCCGGAGGAACAGTCAATTGTAAAATAATGAAATTCAGAAAGGTCATGAGCTGGATTTGGGTGATCTTCTTCAAAGACAACACATAAAGCAAACCCCATCCAGGTGCTACAAGAATCCGGAGGTAGCTCCACAATTAAGGAATCTCCCACACTTTGATTTTTGAACCACTCTGGAATTCTCCTTCCAGGAGTTACAATGTTTAATTGGCCAACTTGTACCTGTACCATGCATAGGTTAGTAACTTGTTAATTATTATTATTACTACTATAGCAAACAACGAGAGACAGATAGAAAGAGAGAACCTGAAGGAATCTCCATAGCACTCCAAGTATTAAACTATCGCAGCCGCCTTCATTCTCAACCAATCCAAAGCAATTCACACAACTCAACTTAACATCATAATTTCTTATGTTTCCATTCCACGTTGGCAGACCTGGAAACATTATTAAGGAAGTGCAATCGTCTATGTCTATATATACTAAGTAATTTGATGTAAGATGAGGAAATTGTTGAAGCCTTTGGCACCTATCCACATAAAATGACTTAAGCTTAGAAAGATATCTAATGCTTGCAGGAAGAGTAAAAAAATTGTTTCCACTAAGCTTTAATTCTTGTAAAGAGGATAAGCAGCCAATATCTCCGGGAAGATCCCCTTCACAAAGACCACAATCACTCAGATCCAATTCCGTTAAAGACCATAAACCATGTAGCGAACCCATCACAAAATCTTTTCTTTGAGATAAGCCGGGAAGGCCCCACCAAAACCTTGATTTATTAGCCTCTGATCCACAACCACTCAAAAGTAGATATTCCAGATTTTTCAAACAAACAATAGAGCGTGGGAGCTGTCTTATAGCAGTTCCATCCAAACGAAGCCATTTTAAACACTCCATCTCCCCCAAGTTTTCTGGGAGTTCCTCAATATTTGAACATCCATTCGCCAGAAGCCATGCAAGAGACTTCAAATTACAAATTGCACTAGGAAGACCCAAGAGATTTTTACAATTGCTTAGATGCAAAGCAGAAAGGCCAACAAGACATCCAACTGATGAAGGTAAATTCTCAATGGACGTCCCCCCTAAATTAAGCATTAACAAATTTTTCATTTCTCCTGAAAATTCTGGAATCTTTTTTACTTTTGAGCAACCACCAAAATCCAACCTTTTTAGCCATTTGAGATCTGCAATTGACGGATGAATCTCAACTAATTTCTCACACCCTTCAAGATTCAACTCCTCGAGTTTTGGAATGCGAGTGAAATTTGGGGTTGTTGCCAAGTTTTTAGAGTAACCGAGGTCCATATATTTCAAGTTGGGCAAGTCCTGTACAATTCAGAAAACAAAGTAGAATATATAATTAGCGACCGAAAAAACTTTTACTTTTTTCAAAAAATTTGTAAGATGGCATAGGGTCAATAATCTTACCTTTCTTCCATCCCAAAGCCGAACAAGTTTGTTGTGACGCATCTCAACTCTAATAAGGAAAATTGGTTGAAAATCTGATGGGAAAAATTTGGAAGGATACCAATTCCATTTCATAATTCTTAAGGAATTAGGAAGAAATGTGGGGTTTGAAGAAATGATCACATTATCAAATTCAAGAAATTTCAGGTTAAGCATCTTAGAAAATGCTTCACAATTCCAATCCACCACTTCAAGTTCCGCCATCCTTAAGGTGATGCCTTGAATTTTGTTAGTTGCCTGTAATAAAGAATAGTAAAGGAAAAGCTAATTCCATATTCAAGTCTAAAATTGAGTTAGAAAGAAATCATATTTCTTCAAAAAAAAAACACACAAAATAATATTTTCTACGTAACTTCTTACCGTATTTTTTAGAAATACATGAGAAATGTCATTATGATGGCACAATCGACTGCGTCCACCAGGCTCTTCAGGATACTCTTGGCGAACAATTTCCAATGCCATTTCTTGTATCAAATCATGCATCTCAACAATGTTGTTTCGGACGATAGTTAAAAGCGATTTATGAATGAGAGCATTTATCCCAATACGACCACATACGCCATAACTATCTAGTATTTCAATTACTTCCTCCTTGCCCTTTCCCTTATAGAAAAATGCAATATCAAGAAATATATTCTTGTTCATCTCATCTAGTCCATCATAACTTAGTTTGAGCAAATCAAAAATTGTTGACTCAGGAATTTTCCGTAGCTTATCCAACTCACTTTTCCATTCATCTCGATCTCTCTTATACATAGAGCATCCCAAAATTTTAAGAGCTAATGGAAGGCCTCTAGCATAATTTACAAAGCACTTAGACAATTCCTGAAAACCTTCCTCAGGTTCAATTTTTTTAAAGGCGTTCCGACTAAAGAGCTCAAGAGCCTCATCATCACCTAATCCCTCTACCTTGTATGATATCTGCATATCATGCTTAACTAGCAACCGTTCATCTCTAGTTGTAATGATGATTCTACTCCCCTTGCCAAACCAATCCTTTTCTCCAACCAATTTCTCTAGTTGGCTTGATTCATTCACATCATCAAGAATGAGAAGAACCTTTTTATTACATAAGCAATTCTTAATGAAATAGGTACCCCACTGTTCATCCCAAACTCGAATAATTTGCTCCTTCAAGATCGGGAAAAGAAGCTGTCTTTGTAGATCAACAAGATGACCACGTTCAGAAACCTCTCTAACATTAGCAAGAAAGCAGCTAACTTCAAAATGAATAGAAATGCTCTCATAAACTAGCTTAGCAATGCTTGTCTTGCCAATGCCGCCCATCCCCCATATCCCTATAAAACGAACATCATCTGAAGGAGCTAAAAGCAAGTCTATTTGCTCAGGTGTAAACTTAATTCCTACTAACTCTGTGGAATCTAACAATTTGTATGTGCGATGCACTTTGCTCCACACCCATTCAACAATCTTTTCAATGAGCTTTCTTTCACACCTACAAGGAAGAACAATGATTAAGTCAAAAGTATAAGCCATAGATATAACAAGGTCTAAAGGTACAACAAAGTGAAAACTGGCTTACAAAAAACCCAAGTATGGGTCTTATTAAGACATGTGGAAATTGCTAATTCGTGCTTACTCATTCTTTGAATCCAACCCAGATAAATTGGCAACTTCTGTTAAAGCAGCTCTCCAGTGCATCACCTTTTCTATGTCTTCCCTAAACCTTTTCTCATGCTCAACGAACGCGCCTGCAAAACTTCCGCTTTGTTTTCTTACATCAGAGGGATCCACATTATAAAACACTGGCAGAATTGTGCCCTTGGATTTCATGCATTGGAGAATCTTTGTAAGTTCCTCCAAGCACCAGGAAGAAGAAGCATAGTTTTGCGAGAGAACAATGATTGCAAGCCTTGATTCTTGGATTGCATTGAAGAGCTCTGAAGAAATAGTTGTCCCTCTTTCAAGCTTTGGATCATCCTTGAATGTTTTAATGCCCATGTGCTGCAATTCATGGTATAAATGGGAGACAAAGCTGTTTCTAGTGTCTACACCCCTGAAACTCAAAAACACATCGTGGTTCCATTGATGAGGAGCCGATTGATCAGCTGAAGGAAGAAAGGCAGAGGTTCTTTCGGTGCTCAACGCCATTGGCAATCTGCTGCTGCTGCTGCTGCAAAGACTACTCAATGAAACAAGAAGTTCCCTAATTAAATATACAAAAATCCAAACACTCGACTGAATAAATGCAAAGATGATCATAAATGGCTTGAAAAATGAAAAGGATTGAACTTTGAAGAGGTTTTTGTTTTGGGTAAACGAAGATTTAATGAACCAGAGAAAAAATACGGGCGTTGAAGGCATATAAGCAGCAAAACAAGTTTCAGAGCAAAAGAAAAGGAAACAACAACTCAGCAAACATGTCAATTTGGACCATATTATATGTTATGTCGTCATACTTTCAAAGTATGGTCCATCTTAGCAAACAAGAGAACATTACTTTGTACTTCCAATTCAGCAGAGAGAAACAGAGAAATTCAACATATAATCATGCTATGCAGCAATTTCAACATTTGAAACAAAAATATGATGCCATCTCAACTAAAAACTGCAAATGCTTTATCTTAATGTTACCTGAACAAAGAAATTATGGAAATGGAGACAAAGTACGGCAGCAGCTTTAGCTTAATGTTACCTGAACACCAAAAGAAAAATTACAAAGCCAGATAGAATTGGTAAGACAACAAGCACAAGACCAGCAAGCCAACCAGAAACTCACAAAGAAAAAGTACTTCTCAAGATCAGCCAAGAATCCAACAACAAGAAGCAAAGCTAACAGCCTCAGTCAAGAGATACACAGAGAGAGAGATAAGTAGCGAGCAGAGAGAGAGAGGAGAGAGTAAAGTTGGAAACCGTGTAGTTACCGTAGTGAGAGCACACGGTTTCTTTTGCTTTTGTCAGGCCAATTATTTCAATAGTTGCTTTCTTGGTAAATCGATCAATCAATAATGTCGACATTTTAAAGCATCAAGGATTTTCCCTTTCAGCAAATTTTATTTTTTTGTCAAACCTTTTGCCAAATTTACAATGTTATCCTTCTGTCATAACTTTATTGAATCCCAAATCATATTATGCAGGATTGTAATTAGGCACAACAATTCTGGTCCATTTTACAAGATTTTGGCATGAAACCCCACGTGCTAATGTAGAGGATCATGTCCCAATGGCATCAGGTTTCACCTTCTTTTCTTAAAGGATTCTTTACCATATGTTGGAAAATTTGGCATCATAGTAATAATTTGATCTTTCGAAATAACACTCAGGGCCTTAATCAAGCTATTAGTCTTATTAAATTTCTTCGCAGTATAATCTATTAAATAATGACCTTATAGCTGGTTAAGAGCATTATTCCTACACTAGAGGTCTTACGTTCAATTTCCCCGCCACCAATATCATGTTGTGCGGAAACTCCCTTTGATCTTGTTCTCAATGGACTACGTAACAAACCCTCACAACTCACAAGGATGAATTAAACACTCACACACTCAAAAAAATAAGCAAGCACACAAAGAACACATAAATTTTATAAGAGTTCGGCTATGCCTACGTCCTCTTGGTGATCCCCTTGAGAAAATTCACTAATGAAAGAATAAGTTACACCTTTGGTTTACAAAGAAACCTCCTTAGAACTCTATTATCTCCCCAAGGTCTCTTTTCCCTCTAACCCATAGCTCAAACCCTTAATGTACTTGTGAATTCTCTCACTTAGTTTCCTCTCCTTGATTTCTAGACTTACAAGACTCCAACTCTTGAACTCTCTCTTCTTGGCTTTCTTGGCTTACTCACTTGCCCTCAGCTTCTTTACTTTCTTGCATCAACTCCCTTTTATAATGTTGGTGTAGATTAGCCTTTGAACTTGGGAGGGAAGCTCCTCCAACTGCACACCCAACATTCAACCACCCTTCATAAAGCCAAAGAGTGGGAAGCCTTGAAACAAGTCAACAAACATCCATAAGTGCCTTCCTAGCTCTCCCAGCAAATAGCCAATGCCCCTAGACCTCATAAATGAATAGGTAGTCGTTGCATTGAAATGGAGAGACAAAGCACATGGAGAGAGGCCTGAAAACACGTGGAAAAGTCTTCTGAATGATCGCTTGTTATAGGTGATCAATCGCTTTGAAGAGGAAGAGCTTCTGAACGTCTCTGGACAAGAGCGATCGATTGTTCTCAATTCTTCGGCAGCTAATCCTCTCAGCTAAAAACCAATCAATCGAATGTGATGGGCAATCGATCACTTTGCTCCAAACTTCACCTCCTTGCATCCTTTAGGTGAGCCAATTTTCCAACATATCACTTACATAAAAAAAAAAAAAAAAAAAAAAGCACAAAATATTGTCCTCTAATATAGTTAGGTAAATAATAATCTTATAGCTGTATTCAATCTAAAGAGGACGCTTGAATATGTTAATAGCGCGACTTTCATAGTGGCGCAACTCATATATTCATACGAAGTTTTGCACACATGATGACGTACGATAACAGTCTGAAGTTTAGTTTAAGATATAGAGGGGTATGCCAATTTCAGCTTACAAATATAAAAGAAAATTTGCTCGAAAGACCCAAAAGAAAAAAACCAAAATGTGAAGTAATTTTGGACAAGCATGAGAAACAGCTGAGAGAAAGGGAGATGACAATGCATTTGAACGGAGGGTTTGCTGAATTAAACTCAAATATTGTATAATAAACATGAAATCCACATACTTGGGACACAAGAAAACAAAAGTTATAAGGAAGAACCAAAGATAATAGCTTAAGACCACATAAGTAACTGTTACCCAAAAGTTAATTTAAAGATTCCATGAAGTTGATTCTCACAAGTCAAAACTAGAAGCATCGATTCCGTTTCGAAAGTAGAAGCAATAACTCGTGGTCAAGGGCGGAACCAGGAATTTTTCAATGGGTGAGCTAGCTAAAGTTATTAGCTTAAAATCTAAGGACCAAGTTTTGTTTGGGTACTTACTGTTTCTCTAGTTTTTCTAGAAATAAAAGCATACATTGGGATAAAATAGTAAAAGGTTGAGAGTTAAAATCATGAGGGTTTATTAAGAGATTATGTTTCCTAATTGAGCAAACAAATTAAATATAAGATGATTATAGGCCTACAAAATTGAGTGAATAATAAGTTACAAAGCTACATATGAGTGGGCTACTAAATTTTTATGAGATGAATAACATTAAAATACATGTAATATATTTTAATTTTATAAAAAGGCTACCTAGGCTAAAGCCCATGGTAGCCCTCTACCTAGTTCCGCCCCTGCTCGTGGTGAGACAATCCGAAAAGGGGTTCCAACAGTTTGAGGTTTCTTGGAGTTCATCTGACAAAAACAGGACTACTTTCCACAAAGTCAAAATGGCAAAAGTCAAAGCATGGCTAAACAGAAATAACTTAGTATACAGCGTGTACAAACAATGGCTATGAATCGGGAGCATTAAAAATGGAAAATTTAGGCAGCCCAGCATTAGAGGTGAATTGCTCAAATAAATTCAGCATGCACAACCACCTCTTTGATCAGACTCTGAAACAGCCTCCGGGATGCCTTGGAAATATCTGCAAGTAAAAAGGAAATGGAAAAAAATGATAAAACATCATGTTTAAATGGGTCATAAATGTATCTCATAGCAAGCTCCAGAATATGAAAATAACAGCATGCAGCAATAATAGCAGAAAGACAGAAACATTCTTGATGGAAAGGTGAGGGACTTTGTAAGGTGACTGTTCGCACCACTTTGCAAAACCCAAGGGAGGTGTCGTATAGCAGTGTAGCTCGGAAGTCCGAGTGTCATATCCACAGAGAGCGGTGTAAAGATAGCATAGCTGAAAAAGAACAATTATGATTGAAAAGTAGATTTATGCAAGATTTGATTTAGAGAAAATTTAATTGATTAAAACACTAAAGCATTGGGGTTCCACTTTTAACATAAACATGCAACTCTTAATAATTTGATCCACAAAATATTTTCCATTGTAGTTGTTCAAAATAATTAAAGCTCTTTTTAATTTCCTTTAGAAGTATTGTAAGCATAACTTGTGCCATTGACAACAAACTATCAAAAAATAATCTTCATCAAAATTCTATTAATCTTTAGTAATTCTCTTCTCTTTTAAAAGCATGAAAGTTTTTACTACACAATGGGAAAAACATGATTGAACCCATGAAATAGATTATCAAACATTCATCAATTAATTAAAAAGAAAACTACAAATTCCATTTGAACAAAAAACTACAAATTCACATTAAAGCTTAAGTTTGGATCAAACTAATAAAAATTACACACTTATATTAAAAGCTTTCCCCCTAGCCTTAGCTAGGGAGTTAGTTCCCCATAAAAACTAAAACATAAATTAAGACTATAAAAGAAATGGAGGAAGGAGAGAGCTCATAGAGTTTGAGGAGCTTGGT